AGACAGGAGCAGATGATAATTATGTTATGGGCATTTTCCATTAACTTCCTGCAATAGGAGCTGCATGGGCAAAATATTGTGTTCTATATGATTTAGGAGTGAGAGAGCGTTATCCTAATATGTGTACTTAAATATTTTGTATATTACAAGTCAATTGCATTTATTGTGCATAATTCTTGGCATGATTGTTTTATAGGTTTATTTTAAATATACAACATATTTTTGGTTTTTAGTATCTAAATTTCAGCTTACACTGCACCATTATATGCAGACTTTTCTGTTGATTTCAGTTGAATTCTCATTATAAATTAATGGTATAATTTAACTCTTTTTTCTGTATTTTGAAAGCAGTAGGTCCTACGGCTGTAATGTAACTTAGAAGTTTGTAGCAATGAAGGGAAAAAAAAAATGGCTTGTTCTGGAGTTGCCAACTTTAATATTAATACCAATTTCAAATAGTGATTTTAATTTATTTTTTTCTAGATGAGAAAAATTGGAAAAAATTTAGTCATAATTGAGTGTTTGGAAACTTAATTTAGGACAAGCAGAACGTGAAAGTGGTGCTTTCAATTAAAATTTGATGTAGGCTGAAGGATAAAGTACACTAAGAGAAAATAATGTTTCATATTTGGATCTATATGATCTACAGACTTTCATAGATTTATAAATATTCCAGAACCTATTAAGAATGTAGATGTCTTGCATAGTGTGATCCTCTCCTGTTTGGCATGCTCGACATATCTATTCATAATCTATGTATGACCTGAATATTAAGAAAATCCCAAGCATTCCTCATAGAGATACATTGATAAAACCTAAGTGATCTTTTTAAGATTAAATTACCATCTAGAAATAGAAATTGAATGCCCAGTCAGTGTAATTAGGTAAGGGGATGGGAGAAGAAATAGAAAATTTGAATTGGGCTCTGTAGTTTGCATCAGAACAACCCTGTGGTTGTTTTTATCATTTTGCTCTTGGTTTTGTTTTGTTGTTTGTTTTTTTCTCCTACACTGTGTAAATCAAGAGCATGAAAACTTAGCAGTGTATGAATAGAAAAGAGAATGCATACCACACCAGTAGCATAGTTTTCAGAATCTAGCCAGGAGCACAGATTGAGCCTTTTTGCTAGCCTATACGTATGTAACTGGAAAGACTTTGTTTCTACAAAGGTAAAACAGTTAATTATGCTAATTTCTGGTTTTAAACAACTGATTAGAACTACTGATTCATGTTGAAGGAAAAAAAAGTTATCACTCCTGCTCTGGAGTATGTAAAGGTCATGGAGATGCTAAAACTTGCTGTAAAACATTCTCTCAGCTAGTGTCTAAGAATCACAGAGGAGGAGGAAGGAGAGCCGAATTATTTTAACTTTATCATTGAGTGATTCAGTGATTCATCCCTGTGGAAAATATGAATGCCTAATGGTACCTTTGCCAGACAATATTAGCTATCAAGCTCTGAGAAGCTTTGGGGGAAGGCATACTAGCTGGGGCAGTACCAGTCTCTGGCTTTTGGCATTAACTTGTTTTATGCTGAAACATTTTTACTGTGGTAACTCTAGGGGAAGAAGGATATTTGTATAGGTTTTCCTAACCTGTAACTAATGAACTGTGGGCCTTTGTGGCGTGAAATAGTGTACTATGGTAAATATCATCAATCTTGTATTACAGCTCTTAAGAGCAGTGCAAGGTAGTGGCAAAGATTGCTGAACGGTAGAGAGGTATAATGCTTACCTTTTTCCACACAGTTGGATTGTCAGCTCGTTCCCAAGATGGTGGATGTAAGTTAAACAAGTCAATGCATATAAAAGTTAATATGTTTTGCTGTAAATCCAAAAATGACTGAATGGTTTCTGAACTTTACTCCCTAATTGCTAAGAATTTTATCTCGCTTCTCATTAAATTGTTTCCTGAAAATTATGGTAAGCTTTGTGTGTGAAATTGATTAGACTGTAACAGCATCTGCTATGGATCCAGTGTGGTAGCATTCCTTAGTGTTAAATAGCTCATATGTTACGTTTCCAGAGACATCTGATTAGACTACAGGTTACTTTCGTTTTGCTGTTGTTGAAGGCATTACATTGTCCTGGAACCACCTCTACATGGACTGACTTGTTCATCCCTAAAAAACAGGCATGGGTAAAAAAAAAATTGCGCTTTTGAAGACCATTGTGGGTATTTGGATTTCGGAGCTCTGACAAACTGTCTCTGAAAGTAGGGACAAAGAGTATTTTTAGTCTTCTGGATTTCCTTTTTAGTCTTCTAACAGTATTCCTATGAAAGCTTTATGCTTTGCTGCTTCCAAATATACTGGTAATGGTGCATGTACCCCTTCTTTTGGCTGGAATCAAGTCATGATACAATCTTGAAAATATATATTTTTTCTGGATATTGTCCAAATAGACCTTTTTGTCTGTGTAGTTCCCCAGAATGCTGAGAATACATTTTGAAGTTGACGAAGCAAGTACAGTCCTGGAAGAAGTCATGCTGTCAGTTTGTGATGAATGTTTATTGTTGGATTTGGATGATTAGATATTTAAAATATTAATCCTGTGTTTCCTTTAGTTGGTCAGAAACTAGTTTCTAAAGCAGTATCACTATTGAATAGTGATAGCTTCAGCCAAGGGAGTAGCATTTTCATTTAAGCAGGTTTATCAATGATTGTGACCAGTTGTGTGTTATCCTACATTTGAGATCACAGAGAAGGGCCTTTTGGTAGTTCTCACCATGAAGACAGATCATCTCTAGAGGGAAGCAAAATCAAGTTTACAGAACAAATTAGCTGTTAGGGTGATGGTGTGGAAAAGGTGCAGTTGCACTCTCTGGCTAGTATGTCTCATTGGGGCACTGTGGCAGGGTAGTTGCTGAGTGAGCCTCTCACATAACACAGCTTATTTGGTGGGTCTGCAGCCAGTCTGATCATTAAACAAAAATGTTAATATTTGTCCTTTCTTTGAAACTCAGGCTTAGTTGTTTTGTGTCTTGGTTTGGAGTTGTTTTTTTTTAATGAAAAACAGATGTATTTATTGTGTTTTCTAACCAAGTTTCCGTCTCTTTGTTTTCTTTTCAGTTATGTTTCGCTTGTATGATACAGATGGGAATGGATACCTGGATAGTTCGGTAATGTTCTTTATGTATTGCATTGCAAGAGTATGTCAACATGGCAAAACCATACAAAGCTACATTAATTCAAATCAAGTTTATTTTTATCTTGAATTATTAGAAGCAGTATAAAATACAGTCAATAAAAATGCATTCATTTGCTTGAGCTTTCCCATAAGAAATGCTGCTTCTACAACTGTTTAAATTTTCAGTTGCTGACATTGCTGTCATGGAGTCCTGTTCTATAGTCTTCTGATTTTAAATGATATTACTGTAGGGTACACATTAATATGACTACAATAATTCTAGTATGCTGCTGGGAGATGTGTATGAAAGCACCATTTGTAAAGATTTCATTAAAAAGGGTAAGTGTAAGAGTCACACAGTGGATTTATGTGGAGAGATGTCATAACTTCTATGCTATTATTAAGAATGGAGGAGCAATATTAAGGACAATGTTTTGAGGAGTAGTCCAACCAAATGAAGAAGAAAAGAAGTTTGAAGAAAAGTTGGCTATATGGAAATAATTTTAAAAGATGTAACTATTTTTTTCTGTTCGCTAACTAAAGTGTTTTATTTAGCAGAGTTCTTTTTTTTTTTCCCACCTTTTTATATTTTCTGGAAGCAAGATAGCATAGAATGGATTGGTAAGGAAGAGGAGGTGATTCCCATAAATTGCAGAAAAATAGGGAAGTGAAATTATATATAGGTATAAAGTTAATACGACACCATAATTTTAGTCAATACCAAGTTGGGTTAGATGCCTGGATACAAATTAGAATTTAGAATGGCCCTAGATAAGCATTTGAGCATGTTTATGAAGCAGAAGTGTATATATAAGTCTACAAAAGCCCCAGTGATACATGATCAAGGGAAATTGCAATACTGTATTTGTAAGAAAATAAATCCGTAGTAGTTTACAGAATCCACTTTATGCCTTATTTCTACTAGAAAGTTGTGATTTATACAATTATGTCCAACATATAATTTGTTAGAATAATGGAATTTAAAGATGATTACATAATCTTTTCCCAGGGTGGAAATCAGTTCATGAAACATGGGTGCTTGAAAGATAACTAGGAAGGAAGAATCTGTGACTGCTTTCAATTACTTTGATTGTGGGGCTGTATTTCACCTACCTGAATGCTTTGTAGTCCATGCAGGATGTTTTGCTAGTAAGCAGGTTCACTTGAGAATACAGCTTCCAGTGTAAAGTACATTTCATCAAGCATGTTGATGAAATAGTGTCACTGAATGCAATATGGTTGAATTATTAGTTGCTTGCAGTAGAATTTTTCTTTATAACCTTGCATTAAATGTAATACTTTTTCATTCATCTCTAGGAGCTGGAAAATATCATTGCTCAAATGATGCATGTTGCAGAATACCTTGAATGGGATATTACTGAATTAAGTCCAGTAAGTATCCATTAACCAGTATTTTGCTGTTTAAATCTGATCTATGAAATGTTAATTATAAAAATTATTGAATTTCTATGACATAACTAGTTTGTCTCTGAAAATTTCTTAAGAGTGAATGCACAAAGGACACAAGTTGGTTTGGGACCTTTAGGTGTTAATAAAATGTAAATAGGAGTATGACACTTCATTTTCTGAACTGTCCATACTACTTTGACTACAGCTACCATGCAAGTAATATTTTTCTTATTTTTTTTATGAGAGAATTGGAGAACCACACATGTCCTAACAACTTGCTATGTTAGAATATAGTAATAATAAATTAGAACTTAAAAGATTTTTCATGAACATGTAGATTCTTCATGAAATGATGGAAGAAATTGACTATGATCATGATGGCACTGTTTCCCTAGAAGAGTGGATCCAAGGAGGAATGACAACAATCCCACTCTTGGTTCTTCTTGGGTTAGAAAATGTAAGTATTAAATAGTAGCATCAAGTTTCTGCTTGCATGTTGACTGTGGCCTTCAGGTTAGTTTCTCTGTGGTCTGTATAAAGAATGGCTTTGCTTTACTCCTCTTTACTGGGACTGAATGATGTGCAGAAAACTAAAGTCTGTCTAAAACATCAGAGGTACACTGGCAAGTTTGAAGCACCTAATAAGCTGGCTCTGGAGCTGGAAGCTGTAAAAAGCAGAATAATTTTCCCTGCTAACAACATGTTAATTCCAACCTGCGGTATTACCTGTTAAGTGTGTCTTACTGCCCATGTGTATGTTGCAGCTGGCTTGGAGTAGTGTCTAAGCTTCTCAGCATGGTACTGGGTTGTGTGGTGTAACTGCACTGAGTCACAGAACAATCTAGGTTGGAAAGAACTTCTGGGGGATCTTCTGTTCCAGTCCCTAATTAAAGGCAGCATCACAGATTGAATTATCCAGTTAAACCTGGGTAATTTGAGTGAGGTGCATTCTACCAGTTCTGTGGGAAAACTTTCCCTGTGTTAATTGTTCTCAAGGGAAAGAGTTTTGTTCATATGTGCAGATGGAATTTCTTCTGCAGCAATTACTGCTGGCTCTTGTCCTGTCATGATACATCTCTGTGCAGATCTTCTGTCCCTGTAACGACATTGGTAAAGTATAGTAAGAAGCAATATCAAGGGGAGCACTTACATCAATGGATAAAGTATTGTGAAAGATGAGCTTATGTTCTCTACATTTACAACCTCACGTTAAAGGTAATACAGATGTAATATGATCAATTTTGTACCAGTTCAACACAGCTGTTTTAAGATTGGCATGTTGTCAGTGCCACCTGCTGTCCTATATTTGAGCTAATTTTGAACTCATCTCTTGAAGCATAGGTTTCAAATGCTTTTCTGCAATTCAAAAGAAAGCCTTTTAATCTCTTTTCAATTTCTTTTCTTAAGTAATTTTCACATATTGAAAATAATAAGTAATACTTATTTTCACATATTGAAAATAATAAGTAATATTTATTTTCCCTGTTAAGTGAAATCTAGACTGCTGTAATTGCTGTATGCTATTTTATTTGTGCAAAGAATGCTCTGATTGGTACTTTTTGCAGGGAAATAAGTAACAAACAAATTTATTGAACAGAAATTAGTCTTGAAAAATCTAATTAATTAAATTACAAGTAAAATACCTGACTTGAAGATAGCTTTCAATGTGTCTGCATCACTGCAGTAGTAACTCCCTTATTCTGTATGTGAAATGGAATAAGAAAAATGTTAAATTACTGTCATCAGACAAAAGATCTTTGTCAGGCTGAATTCCATTATTTTCACAGAATTACTCTAAACAAAGGCAAGCAAATGCTCTCAAGTAAGCAGTATAGCAGATAACTGATAGCAGTTTTCAGTACAGATTTTTCTTTTATGACAGGTAGTCTAGGTGTTTTGGGAGTATTTTTCAAGATCTACATTTCATTCTTTTTAAATTTGAAACTCTTAAATTATGGCATAAATTAATGCAGATCATTCTATGGAGTTTATTTTCATATTAAAGCAAAAGCTGTTAGAAAGAAGCTATATTATCAAACATTTTATCCTTTTGAGTGTTTTTACTAGTTATTAGATATTTATCTTGCTGCGCATTTTAGTATGAAAATACTAAAAAATACATAAATAGTGATCAAAATTCTACAGTCTCTTAGCAGCATGTGTCAATGTTTCCGTCATCAAGAGTATTCGTAGTATTTGATGCATTTAACAGACATAAATATACAGTCATGGAATATTATAATAGCAGGCAAAATGGCTTCATTATCAATAACCATAGTTTATGTCCAGTCCATTACCTACATATGAGGTGATTTGCTAGTAATTTACTAATGATTAACTAGGACAAGATGCTGCCCTTTAAAAGGGCTCCTATTTTCATTTTTATGTTTAAAACTGCTTAATTTTTTAAACCATTGCTTAAACCATCATTAAAAATATATAGGTAAAGAAATTTTTTAAAAAATGTTTCATTAAACCTGCAAAAATATACTACTTCCATTTGTACATAGTTCAAATAAAATCTTATTTTAGGCGATTGAAAAGTTAAATCAATAAGGAAACTCTAATGTCTGTCTGTTGTTTAGTGTAAACTCATAGCATGATTTTGATGGTTTTTCTGTATCTAATGTATTATCCAAACCCTTAATTCCTGTGCATCAATCCCATTAGTAGGATGCTCTTCTTTTTGCATGCCATTGTTATATTTTTGAAAACCTAGCTCCCCAGGACTGTGCTTTCTGGGTGTCTCTCTCTCTCTCTCTCCTTTTAGTTATGGTAATGAAAAATAAGAATCTTCTGGACTTACTAATAAAATAATAAAGTGCTAATATTTTAAGGTTTTCCTCAAGCTGATTAGTCTGTGAAAATAAGGGCATAATCTACTGGATTATGCTGCTTAGATACATTAGATATGTCAAATTATTTTTCAAGTATTCTTGATAGGTTTTAAATCAGAGGGAAAAAAAACCAATAACAAAACTGCCCCTCTGCCCTCCCTCCAAACCGAAAGCAAAACCACAAAAAACCCAAAACAAACCTCAAAAACAAAGAACCCACCAACCAAACTATCCTGTCGCCTTCTTCTAAGTGTCGGTTCTGTACTGAACTCAGCAATGACAAAATTTTAAATCCAAGAGATCAAATTCAGAGCTTGTCTAGTATGATAGTGACGAAGAATTGTCACTATAGTTTATTTAAATAAATTAGAATACAAGTGAAATATTTAATTTGTTTTGAGTTGGGGTTCATTAACACTGTAATGTATGTAACTGTTGTATAGAGCTTGTATGAAGAATAGAAGATTTTCAGCTGGTCTAATTTGATATGCTAATATCAGTGAAGCTATGATAATTTACTTCAGCTGCCAATTTTTAATAATACTTTCAGAATTCAGCTACATTGTTTGTACTTAATCCTTAGTTTCCTGTAATAGCTATATAGAAAGGTCAGATATCATGTAAAAGTCCTATATTACATTTAAAGCCTTTCAATCAGTTTTTATTACATACTGTATTAGCTGATTTAGTCAGACTAATTTAAAAAGAAGGAGCATTCAAGTGAAGCATGGAACTATTATATTTTAAAATAAAATAAACAGGTCAGTGTTCTATGAGCAGTGGGTTGATATAGCCTAACCTGTCACAGGTTTGTGGCCTTTGCCCTCTGACTTCATCAGTAATCCCCTTCTGAGAGAGACAAGAGAGTTAGGCTGCAGCTACAAGCATTTGCCAGCCACCTGTTACCAAGTCAGAGAAGTAACAAGGAAATCTGGCAGATTTCCTTTTTGCTCTCTCTCTCCTTCTCTCTCCCTCCTCTCTGCACTCCTCCCCCCCTGACTTTTTCCTAGACTTTCATGAAATTTCTAGTGCCCTTCAAATTTATTTGAGATTACTAAACTAATTTAAAAGTTGCTGGTACAGTTTAGAGTCATGAAGATAATAGGACAAAGAACATAAAAAAGTCTAATTTCCCTCGGAAATCAACCTTAATATCCACTTTGTTTTATTTTGCTGGGCTTTATGTTTTGTTTCCTCCTAAGATTTGATTTTGGAGTCGTTGTGTAGGTAGACTTTAGAAATACAGAGTTCTATCTCTGAGAACATTCCAGGGTAGAAATGACATATTTGATTTTTTGGTGCTTTTGAAGGCAGTTGATATTCCAAACAAATAATTTGGATACAAGATAAGGAATTTAAATAAGAATTTAATTTTTTCTTTTTTCTGGAGCGCTTCTGAGATAGACACAATGTACTGTTTGGCAATTTGTTTTAGAATAAATGATCTTGGAATTACAGATATGTATATGTATATACGTATATGTATATATGTATATGTATACATGTATAACCCATTTGTAATTGTGTGACTACCCAGTTTCCAATTAGCAGTGTCTAAATGCATTCTATATGAAGTCTACTGAAACCTTTGTTAAGACAATGTAATTCTTGCTCTGATGTTCCAATTCCATGGATTTATTTTTTCAGGAAATTCTCTCATTTAAAGTGGGGTTTTTGTGAAGAAAATGTTAACTATGTAGGAGATTGTTACTTATGTAGTTTAATTTTTGGTAATAAATGTAGGAGATAGTTTTTTGCTCAGTGTCACACTTCAGTCTGGCGTTTTCACAGTCCTCATCAACTTTCCAAATTTATTTTTACATCTTAAGACAAGAGTTAAGTCTCCTACCCAAACACAAATTGGACAAAGACATTCCTGCAGTATTCCTGATTCTTTTGGGAACTGGTCTATTGCACATTAGTGACCTCTAGGCTATTTATTCTACTTCTCTACAGTAGAAACCTTTGAAGTTTCTGACCTTTTTATTTGCTTCTGCATTAGTTTAAATAGATTGACATTGTAAGAGAAGGTGGAGAGTTAACTCTTTGACTCTCCTAGCATCACTTAAAATTTATTTTGGAATCTGTGCACAAAAGGCTTCTCAGTGATGGGTTTTGTCAGCCATAAACATTATACTCTCCTCTTTGGTAGGTGTTGTACAATATTATTCCACTATGAGTTGATAGAAACACTTGATTTCTCTTTTAAAGTAATTGCGTGCCAGATACTTGGTCTCACTTTTCCTGTAACAAATGATTGCTATCACCTCTGTTAGTGATTGCACAAAAAGGAAGTATAAACTGCAAGTTCTTAAGTGAGTGTTTAAAGAAATCCTGTATTTTAGGGAAGTATTTTATTCTCTCTCCACTGGCCACTAGATGTCACGATTGCACTGTACCTGGTACTGTACAGTTGCTGAATAGCTGCCTTAAGGTGAGAGTTTAAAACCAGTAAATGCTTCATAAAGTCATCAGTAATTTGAAATAAAGCAAATATGCCTTTCTTTTAAATTGTAACTTTCAACCCAGTTCACCTTTTAAGTCAAGGTAAATTTTGGTAGAACAAACATTTGTGTTGAATTGAGAATGTGTTTCAGTTAAATAGTAAGGATATACTCGTAAAATTTTATTTTGGATGCAAGTAAAGCAGTAAATATGCAATTGCACTCAAATAATAAAAGAAAACAAAACTTTTAAGCTCTTTAGATTAAACGTGGGATGGAATGTTTCAGTGGGAATCCACACTTGGGAATAGTGTATTTTACTGTCTATATTACATTATTGTTGCCATACCTTTTGAGCTGTATGCTAAGATGGAACCAAACTAGAGACTTGCCAACGTGCACAAGTCCGGAGTGGGATGTGTTATACCATGAATATAATTCAGGCCGAAGCTTGAAATGACTGCTCAACACCTGGGCAGCTTCATAGACTTTGATTCCTTTTGTTCAGCGAGGAAGAAGGGCAGTGAGGCCTTTCATTGTCGTGAGCGATGTTTCTGTAAGTCCTTTCTGAAGCGAGAGTTTTCTGGAAGGCCGAAGTCCCGACGCACTGTGCGCTATTTCCACCCGTGCAGAGGGCAAACTGCAGCCCCGAGCTGTAGCTCGCTCCCTTTGTGCCGGCTGGGTCCCGGCTGGAAGAGGCTCCCGGTAAGGGATGAGGTGAGCTGTTGTGCCGGCTGGGTCCCGGCTGGAAGAGGCTCCTGGTAAGGGATGAGGGGAGCTGTTGTGCCGGCTGGGTCCCGGCTGGAAGAGGCTCCCGGTAAGGGGTGAGGTGAGCTGTTGTGCCGGCTGGGTCCCGGCTGGAAGAGGCTCCTGGTAAGGGATAAGGGGAGCTGTTGTGCCGGCTGGGTCCCGGCTGGAAGCAGGCTCCCGGTAAGGGGTAAGGGGAGCTGTTGTGCCGGCCTGGTTGGCGGCGGGGCCCGCAGAGGGCGCCGTGTCCCCGCTGAGGGAGGCTGCGCTGGCGGGAGCCGAGGCGCCGCCGCTCGTCCCTGCCGGGCCGCGCTGCGCTGGCTCCGCTGCCCTGCGGGAGCTTCTCCTCGCTACAGTCCCGCTCTCCCTTTCGTCTCCAGGCTGGAAAAAGCCCAGGAAAAGTCAGGCGTAACTAACCTCTCCTGTGTGTAAGGTGTAAAATAAATGGTGTTTCAGGCAGGTATACAGATTTACCATTATTTACAGTTTAATTTCTGCAGCATCAAAGTCTCTGCAGATGACAGATGGTTACAGATTTTGGACAGGGAAGCTCCATACTGCGGCTATTTATGAAGCTTTTTAAAACCATTTAATTTTCCCTCTTCTGCTCCCTTTTCTGTTTCTGGATGAGTGTGTGGATGAAGGCTGTGGAAGATTTCTGTTTTGTTTTGATTTTTCAAACACACACACACAGAATATCTCAGAAATTAGAAGCAAGGAGCCCTCCAGAAGAGTATGTCCAGTGAGTCAGGTTACTCCCTCTCCACTTGACCAAGAACAAACGTATACCCCTTTCTTCCCAAAGCAAATTGAACAAAACAAAACATCATATGAATTCTTTGCCAAGAGACAACCAAAGGAGTATAGAATCTAACTACATTTGTTTTAAACCATGTTTGCTGCATAGTTTAATGGAAACTCTTCTCATCTTCCCATTGACTGAACAATACCTAAAAATCAGTAATAAAATTGTCTTGAACAAGTCAAGTAAATATTTTTAAAATAAATGGAATCAAAATAATCAGTGAAAGAATAACAGCTGCTCCGTGATGTCCTTCTCACTTGGATGCTTGTTACTGACTCTTCTCATCAAAAAAATGTGAATATTCTGGTATTTTAGACACTGTAGCTATTTTAAGAGAGCATGTTTGCTGGGATCAAAATTTATCAGTGATTTCATTACCTTTTTAAAGTCTCAAAATCTTGAAGATCTCTTTGTCTATCTTATACACAAATATCTGAAAAGCTGCTGTAAGTTAATGTTAAACCAGGTTAGGGACATGTAGCTAAAGTCTGTGATAGCGTAAAATTTTCCACTAGTTTTAAGGTTGGCTCTTTTATGGTTGACTTACTTTTAAAGGTCAGGTAGTTTTGGCAATCAAATCCATGGTAGCAGGGTCAGGACCATGAGTTAAGAGAACCGTTGTTAACAAAATAAATGTTGCTATTGTCATTATGTTTTAAAGTCTGGGTATGACATATGGAGGCTTGATTTTTCAGTGATGTGTATAATGAAGTGAGGAAGAGATTTTTACTGTACCTGCCCTACTTTAAGATCTTCTTAATGTCTATTTGTTTTTAAACTCTTTCTCAGGATATGGAAGGAAAATGAGTTAATGTTAGTAAATGCACTGATGTGTCAGAATTGTGGATTTTATTCATACTTAAAGACTTGTATTGAGGTGGCTTTGTTTCATATTATGTCTTTTTTTTTCTCTTGGCAGTGTTTTAAAAAGTTATGTGCATGCATAATCATATGCAGCACTTTATTGCTTATTTTTGGCAGTGCACAGGAGCAAAAATTTAATTTGCTCTTTTCCAAAAGTGCATTGTGTTTATGTAATGGATTTGCATCAGTTGCAGTCTGTAACACAGCTAAGTGTTTTAATTGGCAGAACACCCACATCAAGACTTGTTTGTTTTTCTGATAAGGAAAATGCCAGCTAAGTTAGACCATATGTTCTGTTCAAATAAGAACCGACATATTCACATATAATGGTCATTCTTTAAAAATAAAATAAAAATGAAAAAGCAATACAAAATTAATGTGGAAGAGGAGCAAGTTTATACATAAGTTTCAATTTCTGTTAATTTTCATAGACAGCAAATAATTTGCTAAGGAAGGCTGGTCAGCTCACATTTTAAGTGCTTGTGGTTTATGACTGTCTATGTTGATGACGTGAGTGATGTTAAAATCTAAGTGTACGTTGTTTGCTGGTTTTTTTAGTTTTTTTTCAGAAGGGTTTACATGGTCTTTGTTGTCTAGTGAATAATTGCCTACTTTGAGAAGGCTTGAAATTCACGTACTATATTGTAGTTTAGCAATACTTCAAAAATGTGTGGAATATGGTAGTAACATGGGAAGAAAAATAGAAGTTAGGAGAGCTCTGTTTAATGGAATACATCCTCTTCAGCTGCCAGTCATGAAGGAGCTTGACAGGCTTCTAGTGCTTCACAGCTGCAGAATCTATTTCTGCTTCTTCAGGGGAAATTGGAAAACTTCCACACTCTTTGCCAGCCTGAGAATCCCACATTAGGCATCTGCTGTGCTTTTGCTGCAGAAAGGGGACCCTGACATTGCCCAGCTGTCAGAGATGGCATTTGAACTCCTGCTGATAATATTGGGGGAGCTATTACTTATGTTCTGATCCTGATATCTTACTAGAGAACAAAAAAATAAATTAATGGACTTCAGGTTTTTTTTTTTTGTTTCTAGGTAACTTGAAGGAGATATTCAAAGTTGTATCCTGGCTTAAACCCGGCTTTGAGCCAAACATTCTTAATTTCATAGAGGGCTGATTTTGCTTCAGGATTTTTCTTTTTGCCCACAAGGATGACAAAGTCTTCATTGTATTTGTCTTGTATTAATTTCTAACTCCTAAAACAGAGCAATACTGATTTTTAAGGATGCTACAGTATATGCTAATATAGGACAAGCCTAATTTTTTGTTGAAATTTATGCTCACCAGCGTACATTGACTAATCTCATCAGTAAAAACCATTCTACTATTGAGAATCTAGTCAGGAATATTGTGTATACGTGATGACAAGTAATAGTAGTTTGATGTGAGAAATCAGAAACTGGGTAAGAACCAGCTGTTGATGTGGTTTCTGAGAAACAGAGATTGGTGTGACTTCCTTTAGCTATATGGCAATTTCTTTTTAGCAATGACATGACCAAGAAGACTATAGAGTTTCAGCAATACACAAGGAAGCAGCTGATGAACATTAACTGCCTGTGTTCCATTGGATATTATTTGGCAAAATATAAATACGTATTTTTTTTCAAAATCTTGTGATACTACATTAGGTTCATCTAGTTTTTTTTAGAATCAAAACCTCTGATGATTTTAGAAAGGAAAAAGTCTGTTTGCCAGTATTTCCAAGAAGCCAGGAATTTAGAGAATTAGTTCAACATCTATACCAACTGCACATAATTTTGTAAACCTTTAAAGCAGAGGCCTCAGAATGATTCCATTAAGAAGGAAGAAGATAATCATCCAACAAAAAGCTTAGTTTCATAAAAATAAATGATTTTATAATATTTTAGAGATTCATGTAAATTACAGTGGGCCTCTAACTAGTAAGTGCCAGTGAGTTGATGAGTTTATTCATGAAAGATTTGAGTGTAGTGCAACAGCTGACTGAAAAATTTGGCCTTAAATGTAAGGAATTGAATTTTTGGAGAAGAGGTCGAAGATGTAAATCTCACCCTTAAATGCATGGGTTTTGATAGATAATTAGCGGTATAGATTAACTTCATTTAAGGCTGGAAATAGTTATCGTGATGTGGTTAGTTTTCCTCTTTCACATATATTGATATATGTAACCAATTCTGACAGTCATTAAGAATATCTGTGTGGTTTTAGAAATCCCTCTCTGTTGTTGGTTTTGGGGAGTTTTATCTTCTGACCTGCAGCACCATTATTTTTAGGATTATTCCATAAAATAATAATATTTTTAATACTAGTTGTAATTTAATATCAGCCTAGATACATTGATATCATCGTGATGCGGTGGTGACAGCAGCCTGGTGGATTTTTCTGAGTTGTTTTTGAAACACATGGATGTCCATGAGCTTCTGAAGAATTATTTTATTTTATCGTTGCCTGTGTATTTAGAATGATCATGCTGTGATCTGCTGCAAAGTTTTAAATGAAGTAACAGCTTGTCTTTTATATTCTTGAGTCAATCTCCAATTTTTATTGGCACTTACATATTTCACTGTTTATTTTATTAAGTGAAATCTGTTTCTCTTATGTCCTGTGCAGAATGTGAAAGATGATGGGCAGCATGTATGGAGATTGAAACACTTCAACAAGCCTGCCTACTGTAATCTTTGTTTGAACATGCTGATCGGAGTAGGCAAGCAAGGTCTCTGCTGTTCTTGTGAGTATAAGCATTTCAGCATCCATTTGCTTACATGTCTGTTCCTAGAAATGTTGTTCTTCCTGCATAGCAAAGAACCAGTGGCTTCCCCTTACAAAACCATTGCCACCACAATAGTGTCTCCCCCTCTTCTCTGCTTGAGTTACCATGGGTTCTTTTTTTAATTTTTTGGGATATTTGGCTTTAAAATATGTTGTTTGAGGGAGTTTTCCATTTCAAAGGGGTATCTGTGTTCGTTCCCTTTGTAGTCTATGACTTTTTTTTCTTTACTGCTACTGCTTTTTTATTTTTATTAGAGAGTATCAGGCTGAAGTTTTAATTTTACACTTAATTTTATGCTTTTATTACTCCTCTTTTGTTTTTATTAATACTTGTACAATAGGTATCAACTTGAGAAACATCTAAGTTCCATGTTTTTTGATTCAAATTTTGCACAGAAGTACTGTTTTCTTAATTCTGAAGGTGAAAATCCCTGAAACAAGTTTCTGTAATGGTTCTAAAGTTTTGTATAGTTACTTGTTTTGTAGTTTTAAATTTCAATCCACATGTTAACTGATTATAGATTTTATGAAAAGGAACACAGAAAAGCTGCTGCATCTAATTTGACCATCCTTATGCTATTAGATGCAGTTATTACCCTTCAATTCCCTTAGCTGTATCTATGCATTTCCTGATAATGGGTTAATCAAGGTGTTTGACCACCTAACGTATCTCTTAAGAAACCAAGGTTTGTTCCATTTGAAAGTTTCAAAAAATGATGATCCATATCTTTCTTTTGTGGTGTGTTCCAATGATTAATTTTTTTTTTTAA